AGGCTGCAGTGAGCTATGATCCACTGTACTCTAGCCTGGGCGACAGAGCAAGACAATGTCTCTTGAAAAAAACAACAAAAAATAACCCCATCTAGTCATGAGGATAACATCAAACAAATCCCACCTGAGGGATGTTCTACAAAATACCTGGCCGTACTCTTCAAAACTGTCAAAGTCATCAAAAACAAGAAAAGAATGAGAAACTGTCACAACCAAGAGGAGTCTAAGGACACATGAGACATGACAACTCAGTGTAACGTAGTGTCCTGGATGGGATCCTTGGACAGCAAAAGGCCATTAGGTAAAACCTAGGGGAATTCAAATAAGGTATGGACTTTTGTTAGTAATGTAACAAAATTGGTTCATTCATTATGACAAATTCCTATTAGTGGAAGATGTTAATAATAGGGAAAACTGACTAATGGGTCTGTGGGAACTCTATGTACTATCTTTGCAATTTTTCTGTCAATCTCAAACTACTCTGAAACATTTATTTTTTAAAATGCTTTAAAAAAAAAAATTAAAGACAGGGTCTTGCTCTGTCACCCAGGCTGGAGTGCAGTGGCACAATCATGGCTCACTGCAGCCTTGACCTCCCAGACTCACATGACCCCCCATCTCAGTCTCCCAAATAGCTGTAACCACAGGTGTGTCCCACCACACCTAATTTTTTTTATTTTTTTATTTTTGTAGAGAGAGAGTTTGGCTGTGTCCCTCAGGCTGGTCTCAAACCCCTGAATTCAAATGATCTTCCAGCCTCAGCCTCCCAAATTGTTGAGATTACAGGCATGAGCCATCACACCTGACCTAAAAATGCATTATTCTTGTTTTTATTTTGAGAGTGCTGTATTTCTTCATGGGCTGGGCTAGTGATGAGTGCCCTGTCCCTGCCCTGCCTGGTTTTATTCTTGGATGTGCCAGAGAAGCAGGAGGGAGGAATGTGAGGCCACGTGGCCCCAGATCTGCAGTAGGTGGTAAACAGAGGCAAGGCGGGTTACTGCAGAGAAGTAAGAGGATGTGCAGGAACCGATTAGATGTACCTGGGCCAGGTTGGAGAAAGCTGGCTGCTGTCTGGCTCTGGTCAGCTCCCGGGAAGATGGACTCATCACGGCCTCACTGAGCCACATAGCATCACACTCTACTGGTGTGGCATGTACCTGGTGTAGCAAGTATCACTATGCCACACACTTGGTGGCAAGTGGAGACTTCATCAGAATGGTGAGGGGCCTACCCTGCTATTTGCTGTCACCATCCTCGACCTAGTGACAGATGGGAGCTGGCATTCAGGGCCTCAGTCATCCAGCCTAGAGGTAAACCAAGCATGTTTCACCACTGCCTGCCATTCCCGGAGACCTCTCACCTTCCTTCAGAGGCCTGAGGTGATAGAATAGCATGGGCTTTGGAGGCAGGAGATTTGGGCCTGGGCCTGGGCCCCGGCCCCACCCCCACCACTTGACGGCTGGGAAACCTTGGGTGATTCACTTAAGCTCTCCAACCTGTTTCTCCAGTTGTAGAAGGCAGATAATACACTTGTTTCACTCACAAGGTGAGTCAAGGATCCAATGAGAGGCGGTAGACCAGGAGGGGCTATCTTAAGGGTTATTGTTTGAGTAGATGAGGCAAGAGTGGTCAGCACTTTTAAAGCAACAGGTAAGGCCTTGGTCTTGGAGCTAATTGGTGGTAGAGTTTTGTATATATTCAGGCCACATAATGTTTTGGTCAACAACAGATTACATGTACAACAGTGGTCCCATGAGATCATAATACTGTATTTTTACTGTACCTTTTCCATGTTAGATTCATAAATACCACTGTGTTCCAGTTGCCTACAGTATCTAGTATGGTGACAAGCTGCACAGGTTTGTAGCCTAGGAACTACTGGCTACCCCATATGGCCTAGGCGTGCGATAGGCTCTGCCGTCTGGGTCTGTGTACGTGCACTCCATGATGTTCACACTACGACGAGATCACCTGACAATGCTTTTCTTGTCATTAAGTGATATGACTGTAATAGGTTGCTTTCAGTTGCAGGTAATAGTAAGTCCAACTCACAATGGCTTATATAACTGAAAACCCAGAGGCCACATGGGCCTCGGGAGCCATGTGATCAGGGCCATGTTTCTCAGTCTCTCAGAGCATCTTTGTATGCTGCCTTCCTTCTAGGTAGAAAAGTGGTTATAAGACACCCAGGCCACACATTCCACCATCCCCTAATAGGAACGAGCTGCTTTTCTCCCTGTCATACAGCATCCATGACATCTCTTTCTTTAGGTCACATGCTTTTGCTCTGACTTGATCACTGGGGCAAGGATGCTGACTGGCTTAGGCCTGAGTTACTCCCAACCTGAACAAATTACTGGGGCAAAGACAGAGAAATTAGAATGATTGGCTTAGGCTGGGTATGACAGCTCACGCCTGTAATCCCAGCACTTTGGAAGGCTGAGGTGAGCGGACCACGAGGTCAATAGATCAGGACCATCCTGGTCAACATGATGAAACCCCATCTCTACTGAAAAAAAAAAAAAAATAGCTGGGGATTGTGGCACACACCTGTAATCCCAGCTACTTGGGAGGGTGAGGCAGGAGGATCACTTGAACCTGGGAGGTGGAGGTTGCAGTGAGCCGAGATTGCATGGCTGCACTCCAGCCTGTTGACAGAGCAAGACTCCCACCTCTAAATAGATAGACGAGCAGATGGACAGACGGACGGACGGACGGACAGACAGACAGACAGATTGGCTTAGCCAATCAGGGCCTGGGCCTGGAGGTATGAGGACACCAAGCCCAGGCAAACCTTTTGGCTGCCATAGGTAGGGAAGAGTCACGTGGATGCTAACAATGTCTCTACAGGCTTCTGTCCCAGTAATAACCCACTGTTTGACAGCAATGGCTGTTTGCCTCTCTAGTATCCATTTACCTCTTTGGCAACAAACCTAATTTGCATTTGGGGCTTCATTCCTTCTCAAAAACTACATGCTTCTGATGAAGCCTCATTTCCCTCTCATGGGAGAGGCATGTGACCAAGACTTCAGCCAACTGGTGGACTGTATTCTCCAGGCCACCAGACTGCTTCTTGGAAAGGCACTTGGTTTGATTAAAGCCAGTGAAACACAATGACACTTGCTGGGAAGGAAGGCTGGGGCAGCACCAGGTGGGCTTGTCTGCTAACTTCACCCCAAGAGGATGTAGGATCTGGAGCTATTGGTACTCTAACCCATAGAGGACCTGAGATTGAAGCTAATGTAGAGATGGAGGGAGGGTGAGGAACCGAACGGCCAGCCAAATTCCTCGACTTTGCAATTCAGAGTCAACAGATAGTCTCTTTGCTTTAAAAGCCAATTTGGGCCAAGTTTTCTACCAGTTGCAATGGTATCTTATATTATACTCTCCTTCCTATTCAAAGGCAGTAAATACCACCAAGCAGTGCACGTGGGTGACTAGAATGCTTGGTCCAAGCCTTACTGACAAAGAATATATTTGTCACCTGACACTATTATTATATGAAAAGTATCCCAGTCATGAAAGATACAAAAGAATGCTTAGTAATACCAAGAAGGGAGAGCAATTTAGAACTATTGGTTACTGGTATTGTTATCTCATGGGGTTTCCCCTGTTTACCCATGAGCTCTTTATGCTCTGCCTCCAGTAGGGTCTGGCAGGCTTCCCAACTTATCTGGTATTCAAGGTGGGTCTGAGATGGAGTCTACGGGTGAAACTGGGGCCCATCTGGATACAGTGCTCTGTATTAGTTTTGTGTTTATTGATGGGATAAAGTCTTTATTTGGGGTAAGCCACCTTGAATGCTACATAAATGTCGTCTACTCAAGGATTCACATACTCTCCGAAGGCACGGTGGCTCACACCTGTAATCTCAGCACTTTCGGAGGCTGAGGTGGGAGGATCGCTTGAGCCCAGGAGTTTCAAGACCAGCTTGCGCAACATGGTGAAACCCTATTTCTACAAAAAATACAAGAATTAGCTAGTCGTGGTGGTATGTACCTGTGGTCCTAGCTACTTGGGAGGCTAAGGCAGGAGGATCTTCTAAGCCCAGGAGGTCAAGGCTGCAGTGAGTCATGATTGTGCCACTGCACTCCAGGCTGGGTGCATCTGAGCAAGATCCTGTCTCAAATGAATAAACAAATCTCTAGGACTCACCCTGAGGGCTGTCAGGAAACCCTCTTGAAAAGGATGTCTCATTGCTAGTGTAAACTCTCCTGAAATAACCCTCTCTCTTCTCTACCCAGACTAACTTTACCTACCCTTCGGGGCCCAGCTCAGATCCCTCCTTGGTAAAACGCCAGTTCAGACTGAAGCAGTCCGTTCTGTTAACCACATTATTATTAATCACACAATACCTTGAGGCTTCTGGTGCTGAGAGGATTTTGCCTTTTGTTATAGTGATGGAATATGTTGCCTTGCAGTGCAAACCTTTGTTAACAGGGCAAAAACAGCACAGGGGGCAGGAATTACATTCCTGGATGCGCATTTTGCTTATTTATGTGGATTTGGGCATCTTCTAAGGACACCATCTTCTGGAGGGTCAGGCCACAGGACATCCATGTTCTTGGCCTCCCTTGGGAGAGGGTCTTTTGCCAGAGGAAGGGAAAACCAAGCGACCAGAGTTCCAGTCTGTCCCTGTGACAGCCCCTGCCTCTGGCCAGGACATCCACCCACCCTTGCTGAATCAGCTTGCTCTCGGGCTACTGGGCACAGTCCTGTCTGTTGGAGATAGACCATGAAATGCAGTGTGTGGAGGGCTGGGACAAAGCACATTGAATTACCCCAGGGAGCTTGGAAAACAACTCTTCCCACTCTGTTAGGGCCATGGCTTCCTCTACTGGAGGAGACAGAATGTGAGGATGGAACTCGGGTCGTTCTTTGTTACCATCGATATGAATAGTCTGGAATCCCGCACATAGGAGACTGACCATCCCATGAGCAACTCAATAGCTCCTACCATTGGGCATTTTCTTGATACAGATCACAAATAAGAGAAATCATAGAAAATGTTATTCTTTTATTATTTCAAGGAGGTAATAGCCCAATAGGTCAAAGCAAAAGGGAATTAGAGGCAGCACATGGCCAGGCTTTTCTAGGAGCCTCATTGCTGCATCTCTGAGCTCCTGTCTGCCCACAGCCCACAGCTGCTTACATGAAAGCCAGGTCAGTGGACAGATGACCCAACTCAACACCCCACTGACTGAGAAGGGGCTCAATGTGCAGCACAGCGGAGGCACAGCCAGGACTCAGCACGCTGGGCGGCAACCCCTGCTGCCGCCACCAGCTCCCAAGGCTAGTGCCTTAGTGGCAGCGAGCCTGTCTAGCACTTGATTTTATTCCTGTGAGCCTAGAGTGAGCAGGACGTGAATAAATCCTGAGTCATAAATTAAGGTGAAAGACTTAGTAGTGTTAATACTCTGGGTAAGAAAAGACAACACTGTCTTGGAGAAGAGTGGGCTTGGAGTCTGGTGGAAGAAAGAGAAACCCACAGAATGGCCTCAGCCTGCAGGCACTGCCTTGAGGCCAGCAGAGGGGGTTTCACGGCACATGATGGGGAGGAGTGAGGTGGGTGGGCACTGGAGGGCTGCTTCCTATGGCACGTTGAACTCAAGGTTCCTTTTCTACTCATAATTATTTCCCAAGTCTAAGTCGCCACACCTGGGGCTGAAGCAAGTCTTACCTGTGCACCAAGCGTGGACTTGGACCCTGGAGAGATGCAAGGCTCAGTTCTCCAGTGTTGAAGGGGAGGGACTCCTAACCGAAGGAGACCTTTCTCCCCCCATCTCCAGCTCCTTTCCCTTGCAAATGAGCAGGGTGGGAGTCAAGACGCAGAGGCACCTCCTGGTGCAACCCCACCACAGTCTTCCAGAGAACTCATCTTGGTGGGACCCAAAGCCCAGCCTGGAGCAGACTTATTCCACCCATGGGAGGGCACCCAGTCTGGTGACTGAATGGTGGCGTGCAAGTGGGAGTCAGCAGTGGCACTGGATGCCATAACGCTCAGATGCCATTCATCTCTGTGTGATCATCCTGGCTGGAGAGCTGGTAGGGAGGGGCTGCTTCCTCCCAGCGTGCACTGTTCAACCACACCACATGGGCTGACAAATTTTTGGTTTGACAGGTGTGGAAAGAATTTTTAAAACCAGCCACTGTGTTCTCCAAACGCAGAGCCATTGGTTTTGTTTTGTTTGTGTTTGACAAGAAACGACAAAGAGAACCACAGCTCCAATGTGGCTAAGGCTTGTGTAGCACGGGACGTATTATGTATCAAAACGTATAAACCTTGTCTGACTGGGGAGATGAGTGAGCACAGAGCTGCAGGGACCCAGGTCGTCTAGTCACTTGCAGGCTCTGCCGATGTCTCATCCTTAAGCTCCTCAAAACCTGGGACTGGCTTCTGCAGGAAGTATGTAGTGGCCTGGATCACCTTGTCTGGTCCGATGTTGTACACTGGGTGAGTGGGCTGCTGCAAGGGGAAGAACAGGGGCTAGTGAATCATCCTGGTGGTCTTTGAAAACATACACCTCCTTTGCCCCATGAAAGGCACTTCTAAGAATTTAGTATAAGGAATCAGATACACACAAAGATTTATCACACAAAGCCCAAAGGTTCAAAATGGCCTATTTGCTAAAATGATCTAGTACATGAGACACAGGGTAATATACAGCCATTATAAACATGCATTTAAATATTTAATGATATAGGCAAATGTTTATAACCTATTGAGAAAATAGTATGTACAATACTATTTCAAATGTTTATGAAGTTTTGCTCTGTTGCCCAGGCTGGAGCGTAATGGCGTGATCTGGGCTCACTGCAATCTCTGCCTCCCGAGCTCAAGCAATTCTCCTGCCTCAGCCTCCCCAGTAGCTGGGATTACAGGTGTGAGCCACCATGCCTGGCTAATTTTTGTATTTTTAGTAGAGACAAGGTTTCACCATGTTGGCCAGGCTGTTCTCAAACTCATGACCTCAGGTAATCCACCTGCCTCAACCTCCCAAAGTGCTAGGATTATAGGCGTGACCCACCGTGCCTGGCTTTAAACTTTTTAAAAAGTGTATTCGTACCTGTGATGTATATATAGGCAAAAATCGTACCCATATCAAAATATTAATAGTGATGATTGTTTTAATTTTCTTATATTTTATGTATCCCAATTATGAAAATAATAAACATGTATTTGCATTTATAATCAAGAAAAAAAGGGCCGGGCACAGTGGCTCATGCCTGTAATTGCGGCAATTTGGGAGGCCAAGGCAGATGGATCACTGAGGTCAGGAGATCAAGATCAGCCAGGCCAACACGGTGAAACTCCATCTCTACAAAAATACAAAATTTAGCCGGGCATGATGGGGGGTGCCTGTAATCCCAGCTACGCAAGAGGTTGAGGCAGGAGAATTACTTGAACCTGAGAAGTAGAAGTTGCAATGAGCCCAAAAAAAAAAAAAAGGACCACAACCCTATTATGTAGTAAGGCTGTCAGGTCATATTTAAATTCTACGATGTTGTTCTAGTACATCACAGAAACCCAAAGAAATTTTGGATTTGACACAGGGCATAATCCTAGGCCAATATTCAGGATTCTCGCACTGTGGGAGAATGAAGAAGGGGATATGACTGCAGGAGAGATGAGCGTTTTGAGAGAATACTATGAGCAACTTCATGCTAAAACATACCAAACTTCAGATAAACAATTTTTTCTTTCCCCCGTGGGATGTTGATGAATTTTTTTTTTTTTTTAGATAAACAATTTTTAAAAACCACAAAAACTGTCCAAATTGACTTAAGGAATTTTTAAAGGCCTATATGAAGAAATAATTGCTTACTCTGCCACCCCCACATCTCCCAAAAGATACCAGATCTAGCTGGTTTCTCAAGCAAGTAGTATCAAACCTATAAAGAAACAGATAATCTCTGACTCATACAAACATTTTAAGAGACTGGAAAAAAAAGGAGGGGGGATAGGTGCAACGACTCACGCCTATAATCCCAGCACTTTGGGTGGCTGAGGTAGGAGGATAGCTTGAGGCTAAGAGTTCAAGACCAGCCTAGGCAACATAGCAAAACCCTGTCTATTAAAAATTTAAAAATTAACAGGTTCTAGTGGTGTGCACCTGTAGTCCCTGCTACTTGGGAGGCTAAGGCAGGAGGATAGCTTGAGCCAGGAGTTCCAGGCTGTAGTGAGCTATGATCACACCACTGCGCTCCGGCAGAGTGAGAGACAGAGTAAGACCCTGTCTCTAAAAAAGAAAAAGAAAAAAAGGTTGGCAGGGCAGGAAGCTACCCATCTAACTTTATGAGGCTATGGTATTATCCTGAAACACAGGAAAAGGACAAGGCAGTAAAATTTTAGATCAATCTTTCTTATAAACACACATGCAAACAAATGCTAAATAAGAGTACTAGGCAAACATACTGGCAAACTGAATCCAGCAGTGTACTGAACGAACACACAGACACAGACATACTCTCTCTGCTATGACCAAGAAGGGCTTAACCTGGGAATATAACCTTATATTAATATTCTATTAACCTTATATCCTAAATAATAAACAGAATCTTCTTTAATATATGTTTTATTAATACTCTATTAAGCTTATATAAGGTTAATAGAATATTAATAAAACATGAATAATAATCAGATGTGGAGAAAGCATTCAATACAATTTAACACTACCTTATTGACTGAAACAAAAACAACCTAGCAAATTAGGAATAGAAGTAAATATCATTAACTTAATATAAAGTAATTATCACAACCCTATAGTAAATGTCATACTTAATGGTCAGATTATAAAAAGCCTTCCCATTACAATCAGGAGCAAGACAGGAATGCCCTCTATTATTACCTTTAGTCAGCATTATGTGGCAATCTTAGCCAATAATACAAGGCAAGAAAAATAAAACAGAAAATCCAACAGAGTCTACAGACAAACTTAAAACTATTAAGAGTTCAGCAAGGTGGCTGGATGCAAGATTTACAAATATCATTAGCATTTCTATATACTAGTAAGTTATAAAACAGAAAAAAAAAAGATTCCAGCCACAAGAGACATAAAAACTGTAAATTACTTAGGCAAAAAAAAAAAAAAAAAAAAAAAAAAAAGCTAGTCCTTTATGGAAAAAATTATAAAAGACCATTGAAAGATATTAAAGAAAAATTACGCTCATAATTGGAAGGCTACATATTGAAGTCAGTTCTCTTTCTATTCCTGGGAAGACAGGAAGGAAAAGTCTGTTCTCTCCTATTAATCTAAAATGTAGTGCAATTCCAACAAAAATCCTATTAGAACTTGATCCTACAATTCACAGGAAAAAGCAAAAGGCAAAGAATAGCCAAGACAATTTTGAAGAAAAACAAGGCAGACAGGACTTGCCTGTTTTCAGACTTCCTTAAAAGAGTGCAGATAGGCAAACAGACCAAAGGAACAGAATACAGAGTCCAGAAACAGGGCCCCTTCATGTATGGAAACTTGAGGGTGTGGTACACGAGACACATATCGGCAGGACAGTGGTAGACTTCAGCAAATGGTGCTGAGCAACTGGTTATCCATATGGAAAAAAGATAACATTATATCCAACCCTCACCACACACATAAACGAAATCCAAGAGAATTAAAAATCTAGATCAAAAAAGCAAGCTTCAGACTATTTAGAAATTACACGTAATGACTTGCTGCAGTGCCTTGCTCATTACCTTTATAGCACGCATCACAATTTGTAACTTGTTTAATGTGTGCCTCCTTTTGTCTGCTTCCCTCAAAAAATGGCAGAGATTTCTTAAGTAAATCATCTACCCTCCCCTCAAAACAAACCCCTCAACGACAGAAAAGACAAATAGATTTGACTACTCCAAAATCAAAATACTAAAATACTTTTGTGGGGGAGGGGGGTTGGGGGCAGGGTCTCACTCCATCTCCCAGACAGGAGTGCAGTGGTGCAAACAGAGCTCACTGCAGCCCTGACCAGCTGTGCTCAAGCAATTCTCCCACCTCAGCCTCCCAAAGTGCTTGGTTTACAGGTCCGAACCACATCTGGCCTAAAATCTTCTCTTTAATAAAAAGACACTAAAAACAATGCTATGGTTTAGATGTGGGTTATTCGTCCCCACAAAAATTAATGTTGAAATCTGATCCCCAGGGTGGCGACGTTGGGAGGTGGGGCTATGGAAGGTGTATGGGTTCGAGGGGTGGATCCCTCAGGAGTACCTTCGTGCTGTTCTTGCAGTAGTGAGTGAGCTCTCACTCTTGCTCTGGAGAGTCTGGATTACTTCTCGAGAGAATGGATTAGTTCCTGCAAGGGTAGGCTGTTGTAAAGCTAGGATGCCCTCAGGCTCTCCTCTCTTCGAATGGGTTGGCTTCCCCTTTTGACTTCCACCACTTTGTGATGCAGCACAGCCCTTGCCAGAAGGCACAGCCATGCCCTTGAACTTCTCAGCCTACAGAACCATGAGCTAAATAAATCTCCTTTCTTTATATATTACCTAGTCTTGGGTATTCTTTTATAACAACACAAAACAGTCACGAAATGAGAAGACAAGTCACAAGCTGGAAGATATTCACTATACACATGTAACTGACAAAAGATTGGTATGAAGTATACAGAGAACTACAAATACTTAAGGGAAAACAAGTTATCCATCAGTAAGAAAATGAGCACAGGATATGAACTGGCAGACAATTCACAGAAGACAACACAAATGGCCAACAAACTTTTGAAAAGATTCTCAACCTTACTAGTAATAGGGAAAATGTAAAATCAAACAAATACCATTTCACATCCAACAAATTGGCAAAAAAGAAAAAGTATGACTGTGTTCATCTTAACGATGTTGTCAGCATAAAATAACACAACCACACTGGGGAGCAGTTGAGAGCTATCAAAGATGACAATGTGGCCTGGTGCAGTGGCTCCTGCCTGTCATCCCAGCACTTTGGGAGGCCAAGGCGGGTAGATCACGAGGTCAGGATATTGAGACCATTCTGGCTAACACAGTGAAACCTGATCTCTATTAAAAATTAGCCGGGCGTGGTGGCACGTGCCTGTAGTCCCAGCTACTCGGGAGGGTGAGGCAGGAGAATCACTTGAACTCAGGGGGCAGAGGTTGCAGTGAGCCAAGATCATGCCACTGTACTCCACCCTGGGTGACAGAGTGAGACTTTGTCTCTAAATAATTTTTAAAAAGAAACAAAAAGGAAGGTTAAACGACACAGATTAGAAAATAAGGCAGTGACCTAAATGGCAGCAGCAGGCCATGTTTACACTGGTGGAATTCAGGCTTAGTAAGAGTGGGGAACCGCACACACACATTCACAGCAGTCTGCATGGGCCCTGTGATTTGATCACTGGGGACAGTCTCCATTGGATTCACGTCTCAGGCTCAGAGCGCCTCCTGCCAGGCTGTCCTCGGCTGGCTTGCCCTCACAAGGCTATTGTTTTTTGAGGAAAGCAGACAAATACACATTAGACAACGCATCAGCAACCGAGTAAAGTGCTACAAAGAGTATGAACAAGGCACTGAAGCAGAGCATTCTGGGGATGTCATTCTCTGAAGAGATGGCATCTAAGCTGAACCTCTGGGGGAGATGCGGCAGGTTGTATAGCCAGTGCCACACAGCTGCAGTGCCATCATGAGCCTGCTGGGACCCACAGCCTCAGGGTGATGCATAATTGCGGCCTCCTTGAGAGGAAGCTAATACCAGCAGTAGGCTAGGTCCTCAGCCCTGGGATAAAGGCACAACAGCTCTGTGACAGATCAGACTGCTCATCTGGAACCCTGAGCTTGCCCAAAGGTACATCTCCTCTACAGTCACATCCTCACTGACAGCTGCAAGGCTCCAAGAGCGGGGGACCACAAGCTTCTGCCTGTCCACACAGAAAATGCAGAACCAGTTCTGCTCACTTGGAAAGGCTTTGTCCACGAGGTCCCTGTGGAGAAGGGGTGTGAAGCCCTGCACCCGCCTTACCAGAGCGTTTTCAGGCACACCCAGGACCACATCATGTAACATGGCTCCGCTGCCGAAGTGCTGGGCTATGGACAGGCCGCTCAGGCAGTAGCAGGTGTGGTAGAAATCACGCGACCTGTAAGGACAGGCAGCTCTGAGCAGGCGCTCCTCTGCCCCGCACACATCTACACATGCAGCCACACTAATCAGAGACTGCTGGTGCAATCACATGTCCCCACTTGTCCTCCATGTGGCTAGAGGAGACATGGTTTTCTCCACAGTGATATTTAAAACCCCATAGGCTGGGCACAGTGGCTTACACCCATAATCCCAGGACGTAGGAGGCTCAGGCAAGACAATAGTTTGAGGCCAGGAGCTCAAAACCAGCCTGGGCAACGTAGGGAGACCCTGTCTCCACAAAAAAAATTAAAAATTAGCTAGACGTGGTGGCACATGCCTGTAGTTCCGGCTACTTGGGAGGGTGAAGCAGGAGGATCACCTGAGCCCGAGGTGAAGGCTGTAGTGAGCCGTGATTATGCCAGTGACAGAATGAGACCTGGGTGACAGAATGAGACTCTGTCTCAAAAAATAAGACACAATAAAATAGAAGTCCCATCCTCCAGCCCTGCCCAGCAGCAGGAACTTTAATTTTTTTCTTTTCTTCTTTTTTTACCTTAAACTATTAATGGTTAAAGGGAAATGTAATTTTACTGTCAGTCTCTCCAGCTGTCTTCTGGAACGGGCTCTCCAGGGGCAGTACTAGTGATAAATCAGTCCGATTCTCTAGAAAAATACCTAAATGTCTAGAAATAGGCCACATTCTTCCTGACAAATTGCAGGACCAGGCCTTCCCCTGGATGCCAAGGGCAGCAGGATGTGTGTTGGGGCGGGGGAGACAGAGGGTGGGTAACAAAGGCTGGAGGACTTACTTCATTTCCCTTTTTCTTTTATAGCACATAAGGCACCTCAGATTTGAGCTTAATCATTTAATCCACTCTATAATAGTTGTCATGATTACAGCCTCTAACAACACTCAGGGGTTTTTAAAAACACTGTATCCTATTCTATTTAGACCCATTAAAAAAAACAAGAAGGTTATCTACCCAGCAATCTGCTTCCCAGTCTGGTGGGGGTGGGGGAGGTGCATGCAAGCTGAGGGACAAGACAGGCAGCTGGAGATGCCAGGATAAATATGCTCCCCATCGGGTTGCTTTTTGCCATACAACCTAGCACTATGCAGGCACTAAGAGTGACACCTCTGCTCTCAAGGTCTGGCTCTGAGTAGGCTTGAGGTGCACACCCCTCTATTCTCTCATCCCCCTCCCTTCCCTCCCCAGAAAGCACTCACTTGCCAGGTTTATCCAGAAGCCCCCCAGCAGGGCACTGGCAGCACATCAGGATATACTCCTGCAGGGCCTGCTGATGGAACATCCAGTGGCTCATGCTAAGGGCAGGGTCACCTGTTGAATGGCAAAGGGTCAGTAAGGACCTGGCAGATCCAGCCAAGTATTAATGACCTAGTTCCGCTTTCTTACCTGGGGGAACAGTCAAGGTTTCCCTCTCTTCTTCCATTCATTCTTGGTACAACTGCTATCTTCCCCACGTCCTACGCACGGCATGTCCCTTCTCCTGAACTTTGACGTGTCAAAGAGCAGCAGTCCAAAGTGGCACTTTCACTTTCTTGAAATGCATCCACGTGAAATATACGTGGATGCTGATCCTCAACCACATCTCTGGCAGGCGGTGAACCAGCTTGGCCGTTGAGCTTACCTTCCCAGACTGACCTCGGTAGCTGTTCCCAACTGGGTCCATGACTCTACCCTGGACCTCAAAAGACATTCCCTCTGGCACATCTCTATAATTTATTAACCAGACTGACTAGCTCGGAGAATTCTTAACAGGAGTAATGAAGCCTGTTTCTTCTACTTTTCTAAGCCTGAATTTAATTGATCTCCAAAGGGAATTCTCTAACTTGTCTCTCGGCTCAAATAATTTTCCAGCAAAGCATTACTAGTAACTGCCCTCCTGCATCATATGATACCCAAGCAAAAACTAGGTATTCTGGTAATACTACTAAGGCACTGACAAGCAACTGGACTTCTTCACTCTGAAGTTCAATCAGTATGGTCAAACAATTCTGTGGGCCACACAGTTATCAAGCGGGAAGGGGGGACAAATCATGGGCAGGTGTGCAGAAACAACTGCATAGAAATCGATTAAAAAATACATATATATGATGTGCATTAAATCCTTGATCAATTTTATAGTTTGATACCTGGACTAAAAGATGCCCAACAATAAATCATTTAAAAAAAAAAACAAAAAAAAAATGCCCAACAATTGGTAAATGGCACCTGAAAGCTAATTTTTCTTTCTTCTAATCTTTTTGTTTCTATGCATTTTTCTACCTAGTTATTGTAAGTGTGTATCTTGTGTTTTTCACTTACCACTATAGGCATAAACTTTTTATTCCGCTACATAATCTGCATAGCCATCATTGTGAATAGCCATATTGTATTTCATTAAGTGGACACATAAGGTAACTGTACCATAAAAAGAACTGGGCCAAAAGTCTTATATATATTTGTGAGTATATGAATTTCTATGGCGAAAATTATAAAAGCTTATGGTATTAATAACCTTGTATGTTTTGGAGAAAATAGTAAAAAGGGAAAATATTTCTAAAAAATAAACATGAAAAGTTTATGATACAGTCCATATAGAGATTTAAGCAAAATATTAAACTGTTGAATATTAACTTTTTTTTTTTTTTTTTTTTTTTTGAGACGGAGTTTCTCTTGTTACCCAGGCTGGAGTGCAATGGCGCGATCGCGGCTCACCGCAACCTCCGCCTCCCGGGTTCAGGCAATTCTCCTGCCCCAGCCTCCTGAGTCACTGGGATTACAGGCACGTGCCACCATGCCCAGCTAATTTTTTGTATTTTTAGTAGAGACAGGGTTTCACCATGTTGACCAGGATGGTCTCGATCTCTTGACCTCGTGATCCACCCGCCTCGGCCTCCCACAGTGCTGGGATTACAGGCTTGAGCCACCACGCCCGGCCTTTTTTTTTTTTTTTTTGAGATGGAGTCTCGCTCTGTTGTCCAGGCTGGAGGCAATGGCATGATCTTGGCTCACTGCAACCTCCACCACCCAGATTCAAGGGATTCTCCTGCCTCAGCCTCCTAAGTAGCTGGGATTACAAGTATGTGCTACCATGCCCAGCTAATTTTTGTATTTTTAGTAGAGACAGGGTTTCACTATGGTGTCAGGCTGGTCTCGAACTCCTGATCTCAGGTGATCCACCCTCTTTGGCCTCCCAAAGTGCTGGGATTATAGGCGTGAGCCACTGCGCCTAGCCCAAATTGTTGTATATTTCAAACAGAAAATAATAATTTATTAAATTTCTTAAAAAACAGACACAGAGAAAAAGATGGGGGAAGGGTTTTCAAGGTTGAACACTCAATGAGGGACCGTGGCCAGCTGACATTTGAAGGCCAGGGACAAAAGCCTCTCATCTTCAACCCTGCGTCATACTTACCCCGAAGCCGAACCCAACCTAAGGAGACGCATCCAGTCTACCATCTCAGGCCGGCTGCAGGCCACATGCTTTGACACATTCACACTATTTTAATCTCCTTCCTTTCTTTTCCTCACCTGTAAGCACAGTGGACTGTATAGAAGATAATACATACAGGTATGATGGGACTTCACTCTACCTTCTTTTACTTATTTCCAAGGTTGTTTCCAGTTCTTTGCCATTATCAGTAATGCTACACTAAATCTTTGTGAATATTATCTATGCTTAGAATTATTTTCTTCAAACAGATTGACCACAGTGGAATTATATCGGTTAAAGGGAATAAACATTTTTAAAGCTATTAATAGATACAGATAAACGGCTTTAAGAATTTATAGACTATTCTTAGCACTGAGAGTAGTCTATAGGGCTACTCCTGCCTGTGGAGTAGCCCTGCTCTGCAGAAACAGTCAAAAATAAATATATAAATAAACTAAAAATAAAAATAAAGACTTTATATAGCTGCCAGCAAAATTTAAAATTTTACTCTACCACCTCCAGCATTAGCACCTTTTTGTTATTGTTGAGATGCCATCTCGCTCTGTCACCTAGGCTGGAGTGCTGTGGTGCGATTTCGGCTCACTGCAACCTCCACCTCCTGAGTTCACGTGATTCTCCTGCGTCAGCCTCCTGAGTAGCTGCGATTTCAGGCAGGAGACACCATGCCCGGCTAATTTTTTGTATTTTTAGTAGAGACAGGGTTTTACCATGTTGGTCAAGCTGGTCTCAAACTCCTGACCTCAGGTGATCTGCCCACCTTGGCCTCCCAAAGTGCTGGGATTACAGGCGTGAGCTACCGTGCCTGGCCAGCTTTAGTCACTTTTTTAAAGTTCTTAGCAACTAAAATGGTAAAAAGAAATAGTACCTGATAGTTTACTCTGATTTGCATGCCTCTGAGTACTAACTGGGGGGAAATTTTTCCATGTTTAATATTTGTATTTCCTTATGATGATATCTGTTTGGCCTCTATCTTCTGAGACCTAACAGTCAGTTTTTTAATCTAGCTTTGTCCTGTATTTGCCCTTTGTCTACATCATATGCGGCATCTATTTTCTCCTTTTTGCTCTTCTGTTTTGGCTATGTGAGTTTAAAACTTTTTAAAATTAATTTTAAATTTTAATATAAAACACATTTTATATGATTACATTTAATAATGTAATCATACTATTGATTTTTCCTTTGTGATTTCCTTTTTTAAACAATATTTAAATTTTTTTGAAAAGATATTTTTTAAAAAAACAATATTTAATGTTATGGGGATTTTTGGGGGGATGAGTGATGAAAATGTTCTAAAATCGTTTTCATGATGGTTCACAACTGAATAGAGAAGTTGTATGGTATATTATATCTTAACAAAGCTGTTACTTAAACGTATTTATTAAACTTTAGGAAACTGCATTACACATCTGTACAAAATGTACATCTATGTCATATCCTATAACAAATAAAAGACTATGATTATAAGGTAAATGATAACATGGCTAAAATTAGAATCTGAAAAGAAAACGCTATGTTTATTATTTAAAAGATTATAGACTGTTTCAGTGACTTCCTATATTATTGAAGCTTAGAAGCTCAAAGTTCAAAAACTCTACAAGGAGCTTCCAGAAATCCTGAATTTGGACACCAGTACACATAATCACAACAAGATGAAAGCAGATATGATTACAGGGTGGTAACTGTGCACTGGAACCGGCCTTTTAAATCCTTTCTACCTCTTCCTGAAATTATAGGTCCGCATTCTAACGTCATTTTGCATTTCAAAGGTTCCTTTTATCTAAAAAAATCAAAAGTCCTTCCACACCATAACTGATAGGTGCAGCCATCTGTAGCTCAATTTCACAGGTGGGCAAGAAAAGTCCAGGGTATGTACCAAAGAACATACAAGAAGCCAGTAACTACAAAGCCAAACGGAAACTCACAGGCCTGCTGCTTTCTTTTGCTCCACAAAACAAAAAACAAAATAACTTATTGATTTAGTCAGCAATTGATATTTTTAAGCCTTTTTTTTTTCTTTGTTGAGACAAAGTCTTGCCTCTGTCACCCAGGCTGGAGTGTAGTGGCGTGATTTCAGCTTACTGCAAACCTCTGCCTCTCAGACTCAAGTGATCCTTCCACCTCAGCCTCCCGAGTAGCTAGGAGGACTACAGGCACATGCCATTATGTCTGGTTAACTGTTTTTAATTTTTTTGTAGAGACAAGCTCTCACTATATTGCCCAGGCTGGTCTTGAACTCCTGTGCTCAAGAGGTCCTCCTGCCTTGGCCTCCCAAAGTCCTGGGATTACAAGCGTGAACCATCATGCCCAGTGTTTTAAGCTATTAATAATAATTCCTTCTTCTACTCAAATACTGTCATCTACACATGGAAGGTAGTCGTTGGCATGGAGGCACTGACGAGTCATTTGCCAGGTCAGAGCATGGCCTAGACCCACGTGCTGCACTATGTAGAGCCTTCTGTTTGCTTTTGAGTTAGCAATATGATCAATGCCTTTTAAAAAATGTATTTGTGCATTTACCAACATAAAATTAGTAATGCACATGGTTTCTTAAAAAGGGCACAGTATAATACAAAATCTAAAATGTTGGCTGGGCACAGTGGCTCACGCCTGTAATCCCAGCACTTTGTCTGGCTAAGGCAGGTGAATCACTTGAGGCCAGGAGTTCAAGACCAGCCTGGCCAACATGGTGAAACCCTGTCTCTACTAAAAATAGAAAAAATTAACGGGGTGTGGTGGCGCATGCCTGTAATCCCAGCTACGCAGGAGGTTGAGGCATGAGAACTGATTGAACCCAGGAGGCAGAAGTTGCACTGAGCCGAGATCGTGCCACTGCACTGCAGCCTGGGTGACAGAGTGAAACTCCATCTCAAAAAAAAAAAAAAAAAAATCTAAAAAGTTAAGTGTCCCTCCTTCTGTCACCTACTCTTCTCCCAAAGGCACCCATTGTTAAAGGGGTTTTGTGTAGCCTTCTAGGAAAAGCTGTGTACCCAGCCTGTGTGCCCAGGGGCTCTTCCAGGCCCCGCCCCTTATGCTTCATGTTGCATCTTGGAGAGCTTTCCATACCAGCCTATGGTATGCAGCTACTGTCTGGAAAGATTTTTATAATTTAACCTTTAACCTTCTGATGGGCATTTAGGCTGCTATTAAAACTCCAATTCAATATACATCCTTTGCTAGTACCTCTGCAGGTAAATTCCTGACAGTGCACTCGCTGTGTTCAAAGGGTAAGCACCCTTATAATTTAAACAGATGTCTCCAAACTGCCCTCCAAAAAAATGATTTATCTTTTTACATTCCCCACTAACAGTAACAAAGGACCTATTTTCTCATTCTCCCCACCACGGGGTATCAAGATTTTTAATCTCTGCCAATCTAGTAATAAAAACAAATACTGCCACTCTTTTGATTAGCTTTTCTTTAACTACAAGTGAGCTGAACAACTTTTCATTGGATTAATGGCCACCTACTGTGGTTATGAGCAGGGCAGCACTCTCCTGCCAGCTAGTCTGGATTCACACAACCACATACTAACCTCTGGGAGTGCCAATCAGGTATTATAAAGCAGGTCACTTAGCCTCACTGTACTTTGTTTCCTCATCTATAAATAATGGAACCTATTTCATAGGGTTGTCTTGAGAATCAAATGAAAAAATAAATATGAAAACCTCAGTACAGCCCCTGGCATACAGTGAGCGCTTGAGATATCTCCGCTACCAGTAATAGTAGCAGTTGTAGTAGAAAAAGTAAGAGCATTTTTTTCTCAGGGACTTCTTTCTTCAGATCCTTTGCCTGTTTTTCACTTGGGCTGTCCATCCATTTGTTACTGATTTGTATGATTTTTTTTTCGAATTAAAAAAATTAGCCATTCATCACGTGTCACAGATATTTCCCCCACCCTGCTATTGTTTTGTTTGTAGAATTTCCCTGTTTTTATAAAGTAACTTTTGTTGTCTTTATGCGAGAAATACATACTATTTCTAATCTTTCTAGATTAGAAAATACGAACAAGAGAGGAAACAAACACCACCTGTAATTTCACATCCTAGATACTTTCTATGAATTTTTTGGAGTCAACTCTTCACTAAAAACGGGATTACACGCCTACTTCTTTGATATGATCAGTATATGTTGTGACTATCTTTCTACACTGCATCCCCTTTTGACTCCCAAGGTCAGTATTTTGCCCTCCTCTCAATACACTTCCCTTCTTTCCAGATGCCTGTCTGTTCCTAGTTCAAGAGACACCCTGTGTCTGAGGAGGAGGAGAACCTCAGACAACACAGGCCTTCTCCCAGCCAATGTAAACAGCTGGAAACACCAAGATTCACGGGCAGTCTTTTCCGCAGACAAAGCTTGGAATGCCATGGAGCCCTCTAGAACGTGTACTACAATAAACAAAATGTGAACCAGCAGCCCCCCCGGAAGACTCTGGCAGGTGGTGCTCCTGTTAGAGCTCTCTCCAGATTTCTCTGGGATTGCAGAATTACTGCAGCTTATCCATGCCAGGGACAGGTTTGTAAAAGACTGACAGTTTTACCAGGAGCTTGACCTCGCCAGTTCCAAATAAAGAGATCACCGTGACCCCAAGTTTTTTCTAACTTAGAAATATTGGGCTTGGGGAATTCCTGACTTCCCTACTAATGGTCAAGGCAGAGACGGTGCAGGCTCCAGACTCAGTGCACTTGCTGACAGAGCACTTGCTGTGTTCAAAGGGTAAGTGCCTTATATGCCTTAATACTAACACTTAAAGCCCAGTGGGCCCAGGCCGGGAAAATGGGACAGGGACTCTGTTACCTTAATCCAGTGTCAGAAATGGTCACAACTCAACAACTCAAAGGAAATTAAGAAACTAAAGAATGGGGCTCAGGGGTGGGGGTGATGGCTCACGCCTGTAATCCCAGCACTTCGGGAGGCCAAAGTGGGCAAATCACCTGAGGTCAGGAGTTTGAGACCAGCCTGGCCAACATGGTGAAACCCTGTCTCTAATAAAAATACAAAAATTAGCCAGGCATGGTAGAGCATGCCTGTAGTCCCAGCTACTGAGGAGGCTGAGGCAGGAGAATTGCTTGAACCTGGGAGGCAAAGGTTATGGTGAGTTGAAATCACATCACTGCACTCCAGCCTGGGCAACAGAGCAAGACTCCATCTTGGGGGAAAAAAAAAGTGGGGCTCAGAAACAGTTAAACGAGGAGAAAAAGTGTGAGGAGGGACAGAAAAGAATCTCATCTTTTATATTTGAACAGTTACATTATCCAACTAAGCCCAAAGAACAGCTTCTCTCTGGACCCAGGGATCTCACTCCAAAAACAGATCAGCAACCGGCAGGGCCCCAAAACTCCCCCTCTCCCACCAGTCTACTCAGAGACGCCTGCTCTCACATTAAGTAAATGAGAAAGATGGTGCAGGAGTTAGCCTGCAGACTGAGGTTTCAAGAGACAAGGAGAGAATGTTCCCTGAGTTTTTGCTCACTAACCACTTCGGTTTTGCATTCCCATTTGAGACCCCACAGAAACGGACGTGGATTTTTCTACTCCAATGGTGCAGGTGGAACAAACTCGCATTTAGGCTTGTTCAATGAATGTAACATAAAACATTTGTCTGGTGACAACCCTGTAGCCAGACACGGTGAGTTTTTTCTCCATGGGTTCTGGTTCTCTACCCCTTTACGCAGTTGCCTTTCCCGTTGCCGTTGCGACAGTGACTGTTGCAACACTGTGGGTTTTCAGCTCTGCCTTGAACCCAGAGGAGATGGCAGTCGCCAAAGAGCCCAGGACAGGAGTGGGCTGCTCCTTCCAGATAACACAGAAGCAGCACCCACTTCCTTGCTGCTCCCCATAGCAATTTCAAGGGAGCTCATTCTGTCATAGCCAATTTGAAGAAGCAAAGAATGACACTAAACCAATGAAACCAAATCGTACTCTGCATTCGCATGCCCCGTGGCATGTGGTTCCACACAGGGTGCTCAAAATCCAGGAGAGACAGAGCTCATTTCAACACCTCTAAAAAAGCATGCTGGGCTTCCAGACTTTGTGAGTAGTGGAAGGCAACCATCTAGCCCCAGCAAACAGCTCCCCGGGCTCACCTTGGGCGTGCAGTGCACGGTGGAGCAGGGGCAGGAGCCCCGCCTGCCAGAAGGAGTAGCAGCCATCCACCAGCTTGTTGCAGCGGCCCTGGAATCCTCCTTCAAATCGCATCTGCCGGCTTGTCACCCATTGCTGAGGAGACACAGAGGGGAAAGGCAGTTGTAGCCTAAAAGAGACAAAATCCAGCCCAAAGGATCTCCAGTAATCAATCTGTGGGATGGAGGGTTTCCCATCTCGTGGCTGCTCGGCACTCGTTTCGGTGCTTTGGTTTTCTTCCTTTCCTTCCCCTCACTGCCACAGACACACAGTGAAGCATTTAAGCCAATCCTGGAGGCATCCAGCCCTGATCTCTGCTCAATGTCTAGCAGAAAACTACCTTTTCCTGGGTTCCAAAGCAGTGCCAGTGCTGAGAGGATAAAGAGGCCAAGCTGGTTTGTAAGGAGATCTTCAAAGACTCTGAATAAACATGGCTTAAGTTGGAAATTTGAGGCAAGACTACCAGTGACTCATTTCTTATTACTTCCCTGCTCAAGGAAGTTTATTAAAAGCAGATAAATGGAATTTTGTGCTACATGTCATCAGATGATCTCAAGCTGCTTCTCACTTTTACTTGACACCTGGGGAAACTGACCTGAGGTCTCTTAGCAAGTCACCAGCAGGCCTGAAAGCAGACGCCATTCATTCTGATTACCAAATGACAACTCTGTCCATCTGTGGCTGATATAAGAAAATCCTTTACTGTGAAGATGTAAAATACGTCTTGATGTCACTCAGTGGTCACACATGATACCACCATTCCTTGCTTATCTACAAGTTTTCTAAACACACTCTACTACAAAGATCAAGATAGTCATGGGTTTGGTCCCTGGGAATAAGCAGAACCAACTGGCTGAGCAGATACGACATTTCCATTTCCCTCCCTAGCCCACCTAGACCATTCCAGCCACAGACTTACAGAGCTGCCTCCCTGAGCTGAAAGGGCACAGGGTAGGGCATTCCCTGTAACTAGAGTCTTACTAGGTAAAGTTCCTGTAAGAAGCCACTGGGACCCTTGATGGAAGTGGGGGCCAGCCCTCCCCTAAAAGCTGTAGTTTAGATTATATCCCTGTTCAAGGCAACACCTGCCCATAGAGAGTCACAGTCACAAATTCTTAAAGGAGACATAAAACACTGCACTGCAGATTCAGGTACTTCGATATCCTTGGCTGGTCTTAAATGAAGCAGTGCTTCCAGTAGGTAATGGAAGTGGGCTAAACATTAGTCAGATAAAGCGAAAGCAGGCGCTGCAGCGGGAAGTCCATTCTTCATTTCTACTCAACACAGGGCTGAAATGTTTTTAAGCAGACTAGTTGATTTTTTCCAGGGCCCAAACCCATGGATTTGTTCTGTTTCCTCGGGCTATAAGAATCCATACTTCAGATACGGGTCCTACTTCTCCCAAAGCAAATGGGAGTAGTTTGGGGTCCCTAACCCCCAGGCCACGCCAGGCTGCACAGCAGAAGGTGAGTGGTAGGTGAGCCAGCGAAACTGCATCTGCATTTACAGCTGCTCCTCACTGCTCACATTACTGCCTGAGCTCCACCTCCCAACAGATCAGCGGCAGCATTAGATTCTCAGAGGAGCGCAAACCCTATTGTGAACTGTGTGTGCCAGGCATCTAGGCTGCATGCTCTATATGAGTCTAATGCCTGATGATCTGTCACTGTTTCCCATCACCCCCAAATGGGATTGTCTAGTTGAAGGAAAACAAGCTCAGGGCTCCCACTGATTCCACATTATAGTGAGTTGTATAATTACTTCATTATACATTACAATATAACAATAAAAATAAAGTACACAATAAATGTAGTGTACTCGAATCATCTCAAAACCATCACCCCCGTCCCATCCCCCAACCCCAGGTCCACGGAAAAACTGTCTCCCACAAAACTGGTCCCTTGTGCCAAAAAGATTATTACTCTGGGTTAGAGAGACACTAACATTTATTAAGCACCTACTATGTGCCAGGCTGTTTATAAATGTTCTTTCCTTTAACCTTCAAAAAATAAGGATTGTTGTCCCTACCTTATAAAAGAAAAAAATATCAAGCTAAAAGAGATTAGACAATTTGGCCAAGGTCCCACATCTCAGAAGCAGTAGGGACAGGGCTCAAATCTAGAACACTGGCATCATAACTGAGGACTCCCTAATCACATTCCTGATTTCTGCCTGGGAGATGGCACTTTTTCATTTCATCCCTTACTGGTGATCAGATTTTAAAACATCTGAGAAACTCTCAAGTTCAGCACACAAAGTTGGCTGTTTCAGCATGAGCCTTCAAGCCTTCACGAATCTTTAAAAAGACTATGGTGGGGAGGTTTTCCGAAGGTGGAGGCAAGATACTGCGGGTTACATCTCTACAGAGTACAACAGAAACTCTCCGGGAAGCTCACAATGGGCCGCACAACAGGAGCCTGGCATCTGAACTCAGGGAGAGGCGCTGCATGTCAGTTGCAGCTGGTTTGCTTTGAGATCATGGTCAGGGGGTACATGCTCCCCAAATGATATGACGGGGAATGTCTTCTCCTTGGTGGCTGTGGAGGTGTGTGTGTCTGTGCACCCACTCATCATTTAACTATAATCTAGTGACTCCCTGAAGCTGACTGCTTTCTGAGCTTCTTCTGAATATTGGCCAGGAGTTTGGGGTCCAGATATAAATGCTCGAGCTGCCTTCTCAATGCAATTAGCCAGCTCTGCCTAGACAACTCATTTAAACGTAGGTACTAAATGTTTACATAGCGCAGCAGACAATAAGTGGTTTCAAAACGCTGCAAAGCTCTTCTTGTAACTTTTCCTCTTAGGAGATTCTTTCTATAATGCACAATAACCTCTAATTCTACAAAACTGAAGTATAAGGAAAGTACAGACATCTGGTACTGCTCACACCAGATGTCTGCAGGACACAGTCTATGTAGTCTACACACTATTAAAAGTTCTAAGCAGGAAGACAGAAAGGGGAGCCAAGACAGAGCAGCTGCTCACTCCTTCCTCTGTGTTGGAACAGAGCTAACTCTGTTAGCCCTTCCCACAGCCAAACTCTCCTGAAGCCTGCGTTTCTGACTACAATCACATCACAATGACCTGGGGCCTGGGAGGAGGATGGCTCAAAAGACACTTACTAATAAGCTCTTCAAGTTCAGGAAACGTTCCTTCTTGAGGATTACCAGCGCAGCCAGGCCACAGAAGGTATAGCCACCGTGTGCTTCCATCCCTGGTACCCCACCAATGCCGCCTTCCCAGTTCTGACACCTAAGAAGAGATTGAGAAAAGCAGATTGAGTGGCAGGTGAGTGGACATACATAAGTCCAGGACCATCCTAGGTGGCAGAGAAAGAGTTCACTCAGATTAAGGTGTGAGCCATCACAACTATGAATGAAAAAAAAAGAAAGATGCCAACTAATTAACTTTTGGAAATGTCTTCTCAAAAAAAAGAAGAAGAAGAAGAAGAAGAAGGAAGAAGAAAGAAGGAAGAAGATAGAAGAAAGAAGGAAGAAGAAAGAAGAAAGAAGAAGAAAGAAGAAAGAAAGAAGAAAGAAGAAAGAAGAAGAAAGAAGAAAGAAGAAAGAAGAAAGAAGAAAGAAGAAAGAAGAAGAAAAAAGAAAGAAGAAAGAAGAAAGAAGAAGAAAGAAGAAAGAAGAAAGAAGAAAGAAGAAAGAAGAAGAAGAAGTTGAAGTTGGGCCTGGTGGCACCCATGTGTAATCCCAGCTGCTCAGGAGACTAAGGCAAGAAGATCACTTGAGGCCAGGAGTCCACGGCTGCAGTGAGCTATGATCACACCATTGTGCTCCAGCCTGGGTGAACGAGCGAGACTAGGTCTCTAAAAAAATAAGTACAATAAAAACTACAAAATGTTCAAAACCCAGACATTTAGAAACAGCCTACTTGTGTAAAAAACATAGTAATTCAAAGTATTACTCTTTGGGAAAAAGTTATAAAATCATATATCACAGGGTGATAACCATCAAGTTAAAATAAAATTGGAAAGCGATTGCTAATTCTGGTGATCTTTTATTTTTTAAACAGGGTCTAAACTCTGTTACCCAGGCTGACTACAGATCACAGCTCACTGCAGCCTCAACCTCCTGGACTCAGGTAATCCTCTCACCTCAGCCTCCCAAGTAGCTGGAACTATGGGTGCGTGCCACCATACCCAGCCAAGTTTTTGTATTTTTTGTAGAGATGGGGCTTTGCCATGTTACCCAGACTGGTCTTGAACTTTGGCCTCAAGGAATCCTCCCACCTTAGCATCCCAAAATGCTGGGATTACAGGCATGAGCCACTGCACCTGGCCTCTGGTGATCTTTGAGAACAGGTCTACTGGCAATATTTTTCCTTTTTGTTCTACTCTTTCTTCAAAAAGTTTTTATAATGAATCTTTATACTATTCAAAAATAAATTTTTTAAAATTATAATTAGGCCAGGTGGCGATGGCAGAACCATGGGCCAAATAAATCTCTATTCTTTATAAGCTACCCAGCCTCAGGTATTCCTTTATAGTGATGCAAAATGGACTAACACAAAAAGGGTAAGAAATAACTGACTTAGCAGAATAGAGAAACCTTCCCTAGCCAAAGGGTAGGGCTGGGAGAGGGGCAGCAAAAAGCAAGGTGATCTGCTCCAATAAAAGGCTCCAAGATTAGAGATACAGGGTACCTCTGCAAAGTGGAATGCATCTGAACCAAGTTTGTTGGTTGCAAACCTATGTAAGAATCAGACCTTTAAGTCCCCTACTCAAAGCCAGCAGAAGATGGGAAGTTTCTGAGGTTTAATCAAAAGGATCTGAATTCCAGATTCTCCAACAAGCTACGAGGAGGAGGGAGCACTGTACCAAATGGGATTGAGAGTCAGCAATCTCAATACAATACCCCTAGCCCCATTCCCTTTGTGTATTTCACACAAGGCTGCCAGTTTCATACTCCAAGGGAATAGAGAAGATTCCTCTCTGAGGGAAGTGATAAGCCCAAGGGAAAGAGCCTACAGATATTGCTTTGAGAATTCCCCAACGAATGGCTTGATCCTGCCAACCCTCACACAGAGCTCCCCAGCAGCTTTTCCCTGCTGGACCCTTAAACATGAACAGACAGCTGTAGAGTACCGGACATTTGACCACAGTCTCTGCTATGAAAGAGGAGACCAAAACAAAAATAAATTGAAGAAAGTAAGACAGAGAACAGAAGAAAACCTTTTAAAGTTTTATCTTTACATAAAATATTATATGAAGTAAGACTACTGAAAGGATAAAATATCCCCAGAAAAGAACAAGTATGTAAAAAAGTAGTCAGGGAGTAAAACTGAGCTCTGGAAAACCAAAAATAGGATTACACAAATAAAAACAAGAGGATTAGAAGCGAAATAGTAAGAGTATCGCTCAAAGTACAAGAAGAAGGATTAAGAGATGGAAACCAGGCAACAAATTATTTTTAAAAGTCAGTCAATCAAATGTACTAATGGGATGTCATATTCTGGCTAGGTGCTGTGGCTCATGCCTGTAATCCCAGCACTTTGGGAGGCCAAGGCAGGAGGATCATTTGAGGTCAGGAGTTTGAGACCAGCCTGATCAACATGGTGAAACCCCATCTCTACTAGCAAGGCTCCGTCCCAATCAATCAATAAGAGGCTGGGCACGGTCGCTCACACCTGTAATCCCAGCACTTCAGGAAGCCACAGCGGGAGGATTGAGCCCAGGAGTTTGAGACCAACCTGGGCAATATGGTAAGACCTTGTCTCTACAAAAGTTTATAAAATTAGCTGGGCATGGTGGTGGATGTCTGTAGTCACAACTACTCAGGAGGCTGAGGTGGGATGATCATTTGAGCCTGGAAAGTCATGGCTGCAGTGAGCCATGATGGCATCAATGCATTGCAACCTGGGAGACACAGCGAGACCCTGTCTCAAAAGAAAAAATAAAAAATGGATGCATGAGTGGTGGCTCATGCCTGTAATCCCAGCACTTTGGGAGGCTGAGGTAGGCAGATCACCTGAGGTCTGAGGTCAGGAGTTCAAGACCAGCCTAGCCAACATGGTGAAACCCCATCTCTACTATGAATACAAAAATTAGCCAGGCATGGTGGTGGGAGCCTGTAATCTCAGCTACTCAGGAGGCTGAGG